TCCATAAATGCAAAAGGGAATTAGATCTGTGCGACTGCAAACCTTCGTTCAACCTGTCCCCCGTCACAACGGAATTGAAAAATAGTGAAAAGGTGAAGGCGATGGGCAGGATTGATCCACAGGAAGGACCCAAATGGAAACATTTGGCTGCCTAAGAAATCATCCTGAGTTTGCAGCGAACATTTTATATGTGGAGCGCTGATGCGGTGCAGCTTCTTTCAGACTAAAGGACACAACTCAGTGGAATATGAGTGTTCTCTCTGTGCTGCTGCTGCTGATCTTGTCTGTAAATGGTGGAAAAGGTTCGTGATGCTAGAAGCTTTTCTTTGACACGAACTTTCTGCATTTACAGCGAGGTCTGATCAAGTGGTAACGGAGGGAAACAGGGGTAGATTTTTTACATTCAAATGTCTCTTATTCAGAAACTAGAGGGACTATTGAAATAAGTAAAGTATCAGAATGTAGGAAAGAGTTACACTCCAACAGGGTAAAGTTAAACCTGTGATATTCTTTCAAGTTGTTGACAAAAAATGTTAAAACTCATGTCGGTAACGGAGGGAATAAAATATGCAGCACTTTTTGGGCAATAAACACAAACAGTGATAACTCTTGGTTCTCACTTACATATCCTTAACTGGTTTGAATATTTGCTTCATATAGTTTTCTACCATATGGTACAAGATTAGGTTGAAAAACCTCTTACTTTTTGACTAATGAGATTTTTTATTAAGAAAGGTCATGGTAACAGAGGGAAAAGTAACAGAGGTAAAATTGTGCAAACAAGTAGAAGGTGCATGATTTTACATAATTTGTCAACTTTTTTCTTCTGAATACTTTAATATTACTTCAAAATGAAAGGAAACTATTTCTATAAAATATGTCAGTCCTTCCAAGCAAATTTTTATCATTATAAATAATTTTTTTTTGAAAAATCATGTACCTTCATCAACAGTTCAAAGATCAAATAACACAAGATATGATGAAATACATCCGTTTATTTACATGATTTGCAGGTCTTTGAAATTTGGGAAATAATTTTTGTTCCATGTTTCATACATGGTCTGTTTAAAACATATGTAACTTTAGAACCAAAAATGGTACAGAAAAAAGGTCAACAGTTTCATAAACTAGAGTACATATGTATCTGTTGAATACATTTTTATATCAGATGCATTAACTTGAATTTTTGGCCTTGTTGTTTACTTCTGCTTGACTGGGCCCAGCGGTAGTGAGGAGTGAATGAGACTCAAGTGAGCAAAATCAGGGAGGTGGAGGTGACAACAGAGAAGGCAAACAAGTGAACTGAATATAAGCATTATATCAATATGTATGATATGTCAGAATCCATATCGAGTTTAAAAAATATCGAGATATATTTAAAATATCGAGATATCGGCCACCCCTAATATCGCCCAACCCTGACAGAGAGACAGGCTTTTTGCAGCGTGTCCAAAGCTCACCTGCTCTCCCTGGAGGCTGCAATGATGCTGCAGAGGACACAGAGGAAGGACACTTTTGTCCTGAGGGCTGTTACTCCCCTCACACTGCCCTGAGTCTGGATCTGGTGACTCTGCACTGAGGCTTTTGTTTGAGCGTTTCTGTTCTTGTGTTTTATTGCTCAGTGTGCTGAAACTGCTCCTCGGGGACAAATACAGTGAAATTGACTGATTGATTCCAAAATGATTTAAGATCTTTCAAATAAAATGCGTGCACTCTAGATATTTGTAATAAAATATCTTTGTGTGTGGACGTGAGCAGTGCAGCTTGTGTGTAGCTCGGTCATATTCGGCACATTAGTGTTTGGCGAACAAGTATATGAGAAAGTAAGAGCGCGACAGATAAAGCGTCGCCGGATTATAAATGACCCTGTACGATGACTGATGCTAAAGCAGCTATTATGTGTGCGTCTGTCTCCATGGCAACCACGCACAAACATTCAGAGTACTACCGTCTCCTTCATCAAACTGTCAGCACGTATCTGACATGCAGAATTTTACTCGGGCCGAAATAGAAAGCGAATCATTGGCAAGCTCCGCAAATCATCCATCTTTTGTGATGAGAGGAAATAAAACAAGACTTAAACAGGCTATTTCCATCTGTCTAGACGCAAATAAACCCCACATTAAAGCCCCACTGCGGAACAAATACGGACACACGAAATGATAATTAAAGCTGTATTTCACTGCCGATGTTTTTATTGCTTAAAAATACCTTGAAAGACATGCGCTCTTATTGTGAGCGGACTCGCCTCTTCCTAGACCAGACTCATAACGTGGCCTGGTGGTGTCTGGTTAGAAATATTATGCAATGTGGCTTTAATTTATTATGATTCAGGGGGGATCAAAGAATGCACTGACACTTCAGTGTTGGACTTTTCAGCCTAATCTTTGCAGTTTTAACAGCGCCTTCTACTGGTATTGTTACAGTTTTACGAATGTGAAAATTAATTAGTTCATTTTAAACAGTTTGTAGTGGTTCAGAGTTATTTTTCTTTTACCTTCCGCATCTCAGAGCATCCAAATTATTTACAGCAATAAGTTTAAAAGCATTTATCACTCAGAGACCAGAGCTGAGTTTAGATGGACCAGGGTCTTTAAATGGCTTAAAAAAAAAAAACTGTCTGTATCATGCACCCTAACAGTTTTAAAATGGGAAACACAATCACTGCTGAACCTGCGTCTCCAGAGTCTTAACCTGCAGATAGAAGTTTGTCTCATTCTCAGTTTATTGACAGGCCTCATGTGAAAGCACCGAGCCTCTAGAATTGGATGTCCAGGAGTTACCATGTTGACACAATGCACACGTAAGCAAACGCAGCCAAAAAAAGACTTAAGATCATCTGAAAACTCAAGGAAAAAACCCAAAAGTGATTTAAACGACACATTTTCAGGAGTTTGTGTTCAGTACGAGCGTTCATGGTCCTGTTTAGGAGCTAGTTTGTGACTGTATTGTTATTTGAGAGGAACTTGTTTAACAGCACAAATCAGCTCACCTGTTGTTAGTTCTTTCTGGTCAGGTTGTTTTAAAATAAAGATGAGATTAAAGTCTAACTTGAGTAACAGCGCTTCAGACAGCAGTGTCTACAGTTATCATTACATCCCCAGGGAATGTCAAAAAAAAAAAAAAAAAAGTTGTTTAAGGTTACGTTTATATGACGACGGTCTGAACAGAAGATGCAGAAGTGGCGTCGCGTCTTCACTTTTTATTCTGCGTTTAGACAAGTGTTTTTAGGAGTAAATCTGCGTGCATACGGTGACGAAAAAGTGTGTGGAATTCGACTGGGTATGTTTGTACTTAACAACAAGGGCGTCTTTGGACATACCGAAGTTTTCACACCACATATTTTCATCAGCTCCTCCTTCCATAAAGTCGTCCCACCATCGACTGGTTCTCCAGGTCTCGTCCAGATCCATCTGACTCACCTGCGACGACCTGGTGCATCCAGAATTTGAAAGAGGTGATTGCAGATCCTTCTCTCTTCACTAATAATATCTCTGCAGATTCTCTACATTTGTTGAGATGCCTCCTTTATCAGAATTTGAATTTAATGGAGTTGCCAGAGCAATATGTAGATCCGGCGCATGGAAATGATTCGACATGTTTGTTTCTGTGTCCTGTATGTATGTGACGTAAACACGTACATGACCTGAGCAGATCTGACCAGAGTTTTGCATCTTGGGCAGTGTAGACGGAAACTTTTCCACTCTGGAGGGTGGTGTCAGATTTTTGAAGCTCCAAAAAAGTTGTCACGGTCTAAACAAAAGGCACTTCCGATAAAATACTCTCAAAATATTTCTCACGTAAACAGGCCCTGAAGCTGAGATTAAAGTCTAACTTGAGTAACAGAGCATCAAAGTATCAATAAACTATAAAAAAAAAAAAAAAACATATATAATTGTTGTCTTAGCCTACATCGTCAAAGGTATAATACTCCCTACAACAGGAGCATAGCCAGACTGGACTGTACCAGACTGAATGGACGACATTATCACAGTGTCCTGAGGGTTCATGTCTGTGTGCTGAGTCTGTGCTGATGTAAATAAACTTCTCGTGTGTCAGAACTGCAGCCTCAGGCCTTTTCTCTTCAGCTCTTTACTACTTCTGCGGTTAATTTTACACTACAAGACATTTACAGACACAATTTTAATTTTAGCACATACTTTTTTTTCAATTTCACCCAACCACAAATAAAGCTCCAAATAGTTTTAAGAAAACCATTTCATATTTCTCTATATAGTTGTTTGCTCTCGTATATCCTTGGGCAGTATAGTCTTGGTGGGTCTATTTTCTGCTTTCTTGAGGTCTGCTAATGCATTCTTCTGCCCCATTCTCCACTGCAGCCCCACCCTGCTCCCTCTGTGCTTCTGGGCAGAGGAGGAACAGAAGTGCTGCCCTCAGCATCCAGCGGGCCAGCCTAGCATTAAAGAGAGCGCACGCCAGGGCTTAGCCGAGCACTACACTCTCCACTCAGCTCTGTAGCGCTTGGCTCACGTTTGGAGGAAAGAGCAGTTTTCTTGGTTCTTTCTTATTAAAGGGGATGCTTACTCAACGTTTTGTACATAGATTCATAGGGCTGGACAAGAGCGCGTGTCCAACTGCGATCCAGTTCATCAGCAAGATTATAAAAGAGCTGAAACTACGCCAACCCGGACGCGATCTGTATCGAAAAAAAAAAAAAAGGCTGAGATTTGGCACCAATATTTGTTCTGCACTGCTCTAGTCTGAGTGCTCATGTGCTGTTACAGTTTATCCCCACTGCATAAGATCTTTTCCACTCACGAGTAAACATGGAAACAGAAGAGACACTAGGCTTTAACAGGACTGTTCAGACTTTTTACACCAAGGGCTGAATCATTAAACATATTAGAAGCAAAGATCACAGCTCGGTGGTCAGTACAGTGGATCATTCAGATGGCATAGTTGGCAAGAACCGCCATAACTTTAAAAACATTCATGACACAACAAGCCCATCGCAGTATGATCCATGAGGAGGGACTTACCGTGTGCGCTCTGCCCCACGACTGAGAGATGACGGGAGCGTGGGCGATGGTCCGGCCCAGGGACGTCTCTGGGCTCTGGTGTTTGGCTCTGCGGGCCCCTGCTGGCTCCTCTGGGTCTTTAGTGTGGTTGATCCTCCGCATGTACACCTGACACACACACAGACACACAGATGCACAACACATATGACTTCATTGCTCTGACTTTGAATGAAATTTGGCTTTAACTGATCTCCATGTGCACAGAAAAGTTAAAATTTTAGAATGAAATAAATGAAGAACCAAAACCTAGATCAGATTCTGTATATATTCAATGTGTAATGCAGCATTTCTGGAAGAGCACGCACTAACATCTAATATCAATGGAGACGTCTGGGGTGTTTTACGGTACGGAATTAAATGTATCTATCTCAAGAAAGGCCAAGTTACAGGTCAGATCTGTGTAGAGGTCGCTCAGCTCACAATATGATTTGATCTTTTTATTCACACTCTCTCATTCAGGTATTTGTGTATTTTTCTTTATGTTTACTACTTTCTACACTTTAAACACACCCAGAAGACATGAACTATATGAAGGAAGATGTATGGAATTATGTAACAACGAAAAAAAGTTACCGTATTTTTCTGTCCATAATGTGCACCGGATTATAAGGCACAATATCAATAACGTTGAATTCTCTCGTCTATTTTCATACATAAGTCACACCGGATTATAAAACACACGAAACAAACGGACGACACTTGAGACTGATCCTTAGTCCAGGCGTCCACGATCCATCGACAAATCATGTTGTAATCTACTGTGTAAATGATCATGGGAATAAAGAAACAACATAAATGAAAGAGTAAGTCCAAACTTTTGACAGTGATATACTTTACAGATCAAAAGTTTTAGAACATCCTAATTTTTCCAGTTATTTATTGTAATTCAAGTCGTGCAAGTCCAACGAAGAGCTTGAAATGGAACAAAGGTAAGAACGGAACAGCCAGAGGTTAAAAACTAAAAGATAAAAGAACAAAACACAAGTCCAAGCTCTGTCTCCAGACTTAAACTCCATCGAGCTGGTTTGGGATGAACTGGACAGAAGAGTGAAGCAACCTACAAGTGCCACACATTTATGGAAACTTCTGCAACAGACTTGGGAAGAACTTTCTGAAGAATATTTGATTTCTATTGTAAAAAGAACAAGCCACGGGTGTGTTCAGCCGTTATATCTGCCAAAGTTGGGCACTTTCATGAATTAAAAGTTTAGAATATGTTTTGGTCAACAGTAAACTGGAAAAAAATGGAAAAAGTGTGGTGTTCCCTTTAATCCTCTTTCTCGTCTCACCTCGGCAGGAGAAGGTTTGCCCGTCCTCTGCGTCGTCTCCTCCGTGTCCACAGCAGTCGCCCTGTACGCCCTCCACGTGGCCTGCTCGGTCTCATCCTCTGACCCACCGTCCGCCATCCCTCTGACCCCGGCCCTCGCTCTCCCGGCTCCGGCCTCCTCCGCTGGCCCCGCCCCCCTATTCTTCCAGGTGCTCCTCACGGTCACGTTCTTCATGTCCGCCGGAGCGTCCTGGCTCATTCTCCTCCAGCTCGTGACCGTCGCCGTGCTGCTGGTCTCGAAGGCCGACTCGGGGTCGAAGTCCACAGGGGTGGCGTCTGTGGACTGGAGGCTGAAGGCGCTGCGTTGGTAGTGCCTGTGGCTGGTGGTGGAGGTGTTGTGAGGTCTGGATCCTAAAGGAGAGGTCTCTGGTTCCTCACAGTCCTGGTCCAGACTGGGGCGAAAGGTGAGGTCACTCTTGGGGATGGAGATCTCGTACGGGATTGAGATGCTGCCGTGATGGTCGCTGCTGGGGCCTGAGGAGGACAACGTGAAGACAACAACAATCAGTGCAAGAAAGAGCAACAGTTATAGCTTTCCCTCCACCAAATTTAAACAGATCTATATTAGACCAAAAGCAGAAAGTAGCACATTCTGAAAACTGCACTAAGAGGGAGGGGACAAGATCTCGTGTCGTGATCTTGTGAGAAAAAAATGCTACAAGATTTTTTATACAAGAAAAATAACTGTATTTTTCGGACTATAATTTGCACTTTTTCATGATTTGGGTGGTCCTGTGACTTGTACGCCAGAGCAACGATAAAGAAAACTGAGAAGACTGAACACAAATGCCTGACGACAGCTACACACAAGAGGAAGCGACGCTCCATTTACCTCTGGAGATTGTGACACCGAGGATGAATAATTGAATGGATTTAGTGATTTGGAGTGAGATGGAGAGTTTGGTAAACTTGTTTTGTTCTGTTGTTTATGTTAAAGTTATCTGAAGAACTGTTCATATGTGACGTTAACAGTCTGTTGTTCTCTCTTCTGTTGTTATTACTATTTTACTATGTTGGTTCCTGGTCTCTGACTTCATTTAAAAAAAAAAAAAAAAAAAGTGACTTATAGCCAGGTGCGACTTATATATATATATATATATATATATATATATATATATATACTATATATATATATATATATATATATATATATATTTTTATTTTTTTTTTTTTTCTTCATTACGCATTTTCTGGCTGGTGCGACTTATATTCCGGAGCTACTTATAGTCTGAAAAATATGGTATATAGTGACATTATTTGTTCTTGCGTTAACATTTGGATTGGACAAAAAAGGGTTGCGTGTTGGAAGAGGTGGGTAGTACTTGTACTACTAGTTGCATTTACAATACCAAGGAAACCCTGGTATTTTTGATCACTTTTGAATTAGCCAAAATGAACCATGGGGCAGAAGTATTTTCTTACTGCAGATTTTGCTGTCATAACTTAAATCATATTTTCATGTGATAGTGGAAGTCATAGTCACCAACACGAGCTTTGATGAAGCTACCTGGTTGCTAGAGAAAGGTTGGTTTCTAAACCTAAGTCCAGCTGTCTGACACCAGACTTTTACTTTTTTATGCAACTTTATAACCATTTCTTACTTTACTTTAATTCTACACAAAATTATAAAATGAAACGTACTGATGACGAAGTTACTGGTGGAGGTGTGTCGCTCCTTGGTGGGCAGAGGCTCACTGGACAGACTGCTGCTACGGCTGCTGGTCCTGGACGAGCTGGGGTCGTTGGGGTAGATTGTGATACTGCTGGTCATTTTACTGCTTGAGGTCACGACTGGCTTTGTGGAGATCTTGGGTTTGCCATTGGCAGCGAATGGTTCCGAGATGAGCATTTCCTTTCGGTCAATCTCCACGATGGCTGGTTTAATAACAGCCCTGGACTGCAGTGCCTCCCTGGGACTGCACACCCTCTTGATCTCTATCCCCGACAAGGTTTGTGGTGTTCCCTGGGCTCCCGTCTCTGACAGGTGGGCCCGATTGTGGAGCTCTTCATCAAAAGAACTTCTTGAGGAGGAACCTTCTGAGTGCATGTCATTGGTGTATCTTGAGATTTTAGAAGCTGGGGCTCTACTGCTCACCGGGGTAGTAGTTGCTTCCAGTACTGGCTCAGGCTCCGAGGGTCTTGAACCTGTCGACTCCGTTTCAGACGCAGACGAATGCCCTTCTGAACCTTGATCTGCTGCTAACAGTGGAGAAACACGTGATCGGTAGGCTGTGTAGGCTCCATTGGCTTTGGACATGCTAGACGTAAGGGACACTGAAACAGACTCCTGAATGGTTTCGGTAGACTCTTGATCAGAAGCGATATCTTTTTCAGACACGGCATTACTGTTAGCGTTACCATCTGCTACTATGTCGGAGTTGTTCGATTCGCTGTCACTTCCAACATACAGCTTTGAAAACTTCTCCGGACGAACCTTTTTGGAGTCTCCGTCTTGCTGCTTGAAGCCTGGTCTCACAGGCTTCTGGTCATTAGCAGCTGGAGGGTAGCGACTCAGTACAGACACTTTCTGAGAGGTATTCATGGAGCTATATGTGGGTAATCTTGATGAACTTTCTTTCAGTCCATTATCAGATGTAACAGTTGGGCTTTTCGGGGTCCTCCTCACTTTATGCAGAGGGCTTTGTGGTCTTCGGCTACCCTTAGGAGAACCATCTTCCGACAGGCTCTTGAGCTTGGTTTCTCTCTTATGCTGAGGAGACATTTCCCTGTTGCGATGTTTGGGCGACATCGGTTCAGAAACGGTTGTCACCCTTTGATACTTGGGCTTCTCTTGTCTGAAACCGACTTTACCGATGATCTCTTCGTTCTCAGCTTTGCCGTTTTCCACAACTTTGCTGTTGGCGCTTCCGTTGCCGAGTCCTTTCCCGCACAGTTGGTTTCGGAGTTGTTCCACTTGCTCGCTAAGTTGTCTTGTTCTGTTCCGCTCCATCTGAAACTTCTCGTGAAGCTCCCCATTTTTAGACTCTGAGTTCTTCAAGTCCTCTTCCACGATCTCCAGCTGTTTGAGACGATTCTTCAGTCTCTCCACTTCCAAAGTGAGCTCTTTGACCTTGTTGTCCTCCTCCTGTGAACCCTCTAAACTATTCTTTTCATTCTGCGCTTTGTTCACCATATTCCCGTCTGCCAACTTCAAGTAGTCCAGACTCTTTTTGCGTGCAGCTAGTTTACTCGTGAGAATGCTCGTAGAGGTAAGCTCATCTTCGATACGAGATCTTACGTAGTCTGCGCGGCCAGAATCCGCTGAAATGCCCAAACGCATCTTCTGCTGTTCCAGTTGTTCCGTCAACTTTAAAATGATCTTCTCGTCCTCTCTTTGCTTTTCCAAAAGTCTCTTACGGTCGCTCATAAACGTGTGAGTAAATCCTTTAAGCTTCTCAAGTTCCATAGACAAAGCTTGCTCTGCTCTTTCCAGTTTAGTCTCAGAACCCTCCATTTCCTTCACGCGAGCCTTAAGTGCTTCCAGCTCCGAGGAGAGCTTCTTGGTTTGGTTCTTCTCCTCGTTCAGGCTGAGGCAGAGCTGGCTGCAGTCTGACTTGCTCTTCCCGAAAGCCTCTTCCAGTTTTTCCAGGTCGCCCATCCTCCTCTGAAGGCGTTCGATCTCGGCTTTGAGCTCCTTGGTCAGGTTCTCCTCCTCCTCCAGCTTCTCGCGGACAGTTCGGCACAGGTCCTCAGCCTTACGGACCTCCTCATCTTTGCCCTGGATCCTCAGCAGGCGCTTCCGGAGAGTCTCCACGTCACTGAGGAGGGTGGAGTTACTGCCCTCGGCCTGGATGATCTTGTCCTGTAAACAAAACAGAAACATGTCTTTTTGATCAATGGCTAAAAAACAACATTCAAAACATCACTTCCTAACACTGCAACTTCTTCTCGTCTCCATGGAGATGTTATTGCATTGCCTGATATTTTCCACAGTATGGCATTAAACTCTGAGCTCTGGGTAGTGACCGAAAGGACGAGATCATGGATACAAGCGCTCGAAATGAGTTTCCTCCGCAGGGTGTCTTAGAGAAAGGGTGAGGAGCTCAGTCACACGGGAGGAGCTTGGATTAGAGCCGCTGCTTCTCCACGTCGAGAGGAGCCAGTTGAGGTGGATGCCCGAGCCTGGGCTCCTCCCTCGGGAGGTGTTCCGGGCATGTCCCACCGGGAGGAGGCCCCGGGGAAGACCCAGGACACGCTGGAGGGACTATGTCTCTCGCCTGGCCTAGGAACACCTTGGGGTCCCCCTGGAGGAGCTGGAGGACGTGTGGGTGAAGGAAATCTGGGAGTCACTGCTTAGACTGCTGCCCCCGCGACCCGGCCCCAGATAAGCGGAAGAAAATGGATGGATGGAAAGATGGATGGCATTAAACTTTGAAATGTCCATGAACATAAAGGAGAATACATCACCAAGCCAAGTTACAAGTCAAGATTGTTCAAGGTATTTTTGAGCAATAAACAGATCTGCAATTGAATAAATGCAAAATAGATCATTTTTACTAAACTGTGGAACATTTTAGGCAAAACAATAACATCTCTATGGAGACAAGCAGGTGCCACTCTGTAAAACAAGGTAAAAAAAAATCAGTATCCAGAAGTTTTCCCTCTATGAAAATATCTTGTACTCATAATGTTTTAAATTGAAACAGTTTTGAATTATGAAATCAGCCAAAACAGCAGCTGCCTGCAGACTCTCCAAGCTGCGAAGTTGTGTTGAATTTCCAAACTAAATTCTTGAGCCTGTCCCACCATGCCCCATTTTTTTACTACATTCTGAGGTGTCATCCAAGTACACACATATGTTCTCGTAAAAAGGTATAAAGAAGTTACTCCCAAACTTGCCCAGAGTTCTATAAAGTTTAAAGAAGACATAATGTGCTCGTGTCTGCTATAAAATTATAATCTGTCATTATCTGTGGATCATCGTGTTAGAATTTGAACATCTGCTGACTTCCTGGTTGGAAAATTGCGGAGCCCAATGGGAGCAGATTCTCATGTGCCTATTCAAAACATTTTTTAAAATTTGTGCCAAAATAGCTACACAGGATTTCTGAACCCTACGCGTATCATTGATTAAGGAAATAAAACTGGAGAACCAAGTACAGTCAGACACGCATGAATCACTCTAAATACAACAGTGAGTGGAGAAATGAGAAGGGGAAAACACATGTTTAAAAGCTCTCATAAGTCCTCTAAAGGGCCAATATTACCCTATTTTCTGATCTATTATAATCATGGTTCCCACCTTTTTCAGTGACAAAATTTCAAAAACTTTTCCATGACTTTTTCATGACCTAAAGTGAATTTTTCATGACTTTACGGCACCTACATGTGTAGAATTGATCAGACTTTTAGGGCTGAATATGAAATGTTAACTCTTTCTACTAGGGATGTGACAACAACCGAAATATCGTGATATTGTGTCGTCAAAGTTCTCACAATAATATCGTGGACCATCACAATATATCGAATTACAAGTCTCTTTGCTTAAATGAAGAGTTAAGGTGCAGCAATATCTAAAAAAAAGACAGACAGAACTACATCGACCATAATCCTTTGCTCCATTTCTGTGCAGACTACAAGAAGAAATAACAGTTCTAAGCACTTTTAAGTCTTAGTTCTTTGGATTAAGTTCTGTCAAGGCTTTTTAAGAGGAAAAAGTCACATATTAACAGGTTTAGCTGTTTAGCCTCAACAAAATATCGCAATAAATATCGTACTGTGAGATGTATATCGTGAAAATATTGTACCGTGAGATTTGGATATCGTTACGTCTCAAATCGTGAACCTCAGCACCATATCGTGAGCTTTCCCACAATATCGCAATAAATATCGTACTGTGAGGTTCATACCGTGACGATATCGTATCGTGAGACATGGATATTGTTACACCCACACTTTCCACTCACCTTATGGTTTGGGATTATAGTTTTTTAACATTCAAAATCCTGTCAGTGGATTTATTGTCGTCTCTTTTAAACAAAAGGTGCAGATGTTCAGAAATAATCATAATAGCCTAATGAAAACTTTACAGAATGCTGGAGTTGCGTGAAAGAGATACTAAAATTCCATGACTTTTCCCAAAACTTTCATTGAATTTACAGAATTCCATAACTTTTCCAGGATTTCCATGACCGTGGGAACTTGTATAATGGAGTTTCCTCATCAAAAACAGACCTAGAGTTGTGTTTCGTTTCATTCACATGTTAAACACACAAACCCTGAATATTTAAACTGAGTTCTTCTCTCAAAAATGCGAAACAGTGTGTTCCACCTTGTGATGTCATGTGGTAGTACAGGAAGTGCCCCATACACCTTCACAACAATCATTTGGATAATTTCAGCCCTAGAACTTCCAACCTCTCCTAAACAAAAGGTAGAAGGTGGCTTTTAACGTCAGTGCTGTGTGATGTCACCAACTACTTGAGACCGCAAAAGGCCACTGGAGGCAGCACAAACTTAAAAAGCTGCAAACTCGACTAGGAACAGTAGACAAATACTATCAAAACACCATGTACTTTTCGGTTGGAGGTCTGTTACCTGCGTGTTTCTTTGGATATGTCATTGTTCTGTCTGGAATGTTCCACAGTATTAAGGCTGGGTATCATTAAGAAGTTGCAGATATAATACCTACCTTGATACAGTGCACTTTTGACTCGATACGACATAATCGATTCAATACAGTTTAATAGAAAATAAAGGCTAAATCATGTCTTTGTTAAACCACTTCTTGTGCAAAGTTCATATGAAACACAAACATTTTAATCATCAAAACAGTAAAAATGTTAAATGTGCTGCATAAATGAGTTTCCTTCGTCTAAACAAACAACAAAACAAAATAATTAAGTAAAATGTACCAAAAATACTCTTGGCGATATATTGATACAGTAGCCCACGATACTGATACTGTATCATCACATCAAATGATACGATATATATCAATATTTCGACATTTTTGCACACTCCTACACAGTGTGACATTAAACAGCTCTACTTTACATTTGTCAAATTACAGGTGGTTTTATAACTCAAAAATACCTCAAAAAACAGGCATTCTGTTTTTCTTGTAGTGGCTTTTAACTTTCAGCTTTTAACGTCAGTGCTGTGTGATGTCACCAACTACTTGAGACGGCAAAGGCCACTGGAGGCAGCACAAACTTAAAAAGCTGCAAACTTGACTAGGAACAGTAGACAAATGCTATTGAAACACCATGTACTTTTCGGTTAAGAGGTCTGTCGCCTGCTTGTTTCTATGGATATGTCATTGCTCTGCTTGGAATGTTCCGCAGTATGACATTAAACACCTCTACGTTTTACATTAACAAGTAATACCTCAAAAATACCTTGAAAAACAGGCATTCTGACCTGTAGCTTGGTCTGGTTTGGACTCCATGAAGGTAGAAAAGGTGTAATGCCTTAACTTGAAAAACTACCACTTCATGACATCACGAGGTGGAACACAGCATTTTAAGTTTTGGGGATGTAGACACCTCAACAATTCAGGATTAGTCAAATGTGAGAATGAAACAAAACACTCGAAACACAAAACTCCAGGTATGTTTTTGACAAGGTAACAACATCCTAACATGAACATATTGGACTTTTAAACGAAATAGCTATAAAATCCAACATTTTTGTCTTTTTTTTTACATGTTACAGTATCGTTTTAAATACAGTAGATGCCGTCTTTGATAGTCCCTCGTTACCTGCAGGTCGAGCAGCTCATCCTCGGCCTTCTGGAGCTTGTTGGTGGCCTCCTCGAGCTCGTCCAGGCGGCGGCCCAGGCTCTGCAGCTTGTGCCGGAGGTGGCGGTGGGTCATGTCCTTGGGCTCCGACATGGCGCCCTCTGCTGGCCTGCCTCTGCCTGTGCCTGTGGGTGGAGACGGGGTGGAGGCGCTGGGTGTGGCGTGGGCGGGTTAGGTGGTGCGCGGCGGTTGGGAGGTCCACATGGGGGCTTCCTCTGTTACTGGGTGTGGAGGTGAGGCGGAGACGGTCCAAGGTCAGACTGGAGAACAGGCGATGGGGAGGTCATCTGGAGAGGAAAGAGGACACACTGTTAAGCTTAGACACTGCAGGTAAATATGAAAAAATAAATACATTCAGAGACAGCAATTTGAAACTCTCCATGTAATGTTTTCATATAAAATAAGGAAAACAGAAACATGAAAAGAGCTGAATATACATTTCTTGCTTCTTTTTGCTGACATATTAGAATAAAAAAATACACAGAGGGCATTTTGGATATCTTAATTAGTATTTGAGTAAACTAGAGCTGACTGAAAATGTACAAAAAAAATTCTAATTTTGCTTCACATTTTGGAGTTTAACACCTACACTGCACCCACAACCACAGTTCAAATAGAGCTGCTAAACTGGACAGTGCCTGGAGGACTGAAGGGGAGAGTGAGGGGAGGAGGAGACAGGCGGGGTCTGAGGGTATAAGGAACAGTGTGATTGGTCTCAGAGATATCCACACTTCAAACTCCGCCCCTGCAGTCAGGTGTTTGTATCAGAAACTGGCTGTAATCAGGGCAGTGCTGTGTGATGTCACCAACTACTGGAGGCAAGGCAAGGCAAGGCAGGTTTATTTGTATAGCACAATTCGTGCACAAAGTAATTCAAAGTGCTTTACAGAATAAGAAATACATTAAAATCATAATAAAAACAAATCAAAACATAAATAATCATGAAGATTAAAATTAAAAAAGAGAGACATAAATTAGAGAGAAGAGTGCGGAATGAAAACCTTTCAGTTCATATGCACAGTCAAACAGAAATGTTTTGAGCCTGGATTTAAACAGAGTCAAAGTAGAGTCTGTCTCACATGTTCAGACTGTTCCAGGTTTTAGCTGCATGAACCTGAAACTCTGACTCCCCTTGTTTAGTCGTGACTCTGGGCACCAGCAGGAGGCCGGTCCCTGAGCTCCTCAGAGTGTGAGATGGTTCATATGACACTAACATGTCACAGATGGACTTTGGTGCTCGGCCATGGAGAGACTTGTACAAGCAGAGCTGCTTTAAAGTCTCTGAGCCACAGGAGCCAGTGCAGAGACCTGAGCACAGGACTTATGTGCTCGTACTTCCTAGTTTGAGTAAGGACCCGAGCTGCAGCGTTCTGGATGTTCTGCAGCGTCTCACAGCTCGTTTGGAGAGACCAGTGACCTAATCTACTGGAGACAAACGCATGAATAAGTTTCTCCAAGTCTGATTTAGACAGTAAACCTTTGATTTTTGCTATGTTTTTTAGATGGTAAAAGGCTGCAGATGTTATTGATTTGATGTGGCTGTTAAAGTTCAAGTCTGAGTCCATTATTACCCCTAGATTTCTTGCCTGATTTGAAGGTTTTAGAGAGAGAGACTGGAGGTGACTGCTGACACTGTCCCTTTGTTTCTGTGGACCAAACACTATGACTTCAGTCTTGTCAGAGTTTAGCTGGAGAAAGTGGTTTTGCCTCCACACACTGATCTGTTGGATGCAGTGGCAGAGTGAGTCCACTGGTCCATAGTCTCCTGTTGTCAGAGAGATTGCAAAGGCCACTGGAGGCAGCATAAACCTAGGCTACATTTAAACATAGCCAGGTATGCTGAGAAACAAATATTTCCTTCCCTCCGTTTTCCAAAATAACATCGTGCACATAGGATCGTTTTCAAAAAAAGTTGTTTTCGTCTACATTGGTCTGCATAAATACGCCATTGAGCGCCGTCATAACTACGCCAAGCCTCTGGGCGGCACCTGGATTAGAGTCTACTCTGAATGCTTCCATCGTCATCAGAGCAAAAGGGAAAAACTGGTCGCACTTTCAGCGCATCAGCTCTTAGAACTCTGTTTATTTTACTTTACACGCAAATGCGAAACCGTATTTTTCCAGAATTTCCACTCTAGCAGGAGTTTTTAGAAAGATTCGTTTTCAGAGGAGAATTCACCGTTTGAGATGAGATGATGGGTACAAACGAAACAGGAAATGTCTCTGTTTTTAAAAATACCCATGTAGGTGTAAACGGGGCCTTAAAAAGCTGCAAATATGACAGTACATGAACAGTAAACAATAAAACCTTTAAAACACCATATACTTTTCGGTTAGGGGGTCCTTCACCTGCTTGTTTCTATATGTCATTGCTCTGCCTGAAAAAAGGATTTGACGGACGCTCCACCAGAAAAGTTACATGATGCACCTTAAAGTAATCGAAGTATTGAAATAATCAGACAATAGTAGTTTGATTTGAATGATTCTTTTGTGTAAATTGTTTCCCGTGTTTGACCATGTGTGTTTTGGACGGTCTGAGCTCCGTGTCCCTCGCCTCGTGTCCCTTCCCCCTCAGCATCCACCCCGTCTCCTTCTGCTGACGGAGGCACATATTACACCCCCCCTTTTTCATCACCACGGCAACCACAGCATCCTCACAGCTGGGGAAGGACAAATGTACAGAAATTCAATGACACACAGTCTGTCACAATAATGGAGAACTCCAATTTAAGCTCAATTTAAAGCCACAGTGTAAGACTTTTCTCATCAATGACTACACGGAGATGGTATTGCTTTGAGAAGGTTCCACAATATGTCCATGGAAACAAATATGTGACTCGGCCAGGCTAAGTTACTGTGGAGAGGTGTGCCTGCTCTAAGCAACAATGCAGGTTTTTTAATGTATTAAATTAAAAACATCTTGCATTCATTTAACATTCATCTGACCATAGGAACCATCTCACACGCTGGGGACCTCAGGGACGGGCCTCCTGCTTTAGTCCTGATGTAGTCCTGGTTTAATTCTGGTTTAGTCTTGGCGTCTTGCTGGTGCCCAGAGTCAGGACTAAACACGAGGAGTCAGCGTTTCAGATTCATGCAGCTAAGGCTACGTTTATATGACGATGGTCTGAACAGAAGACGCAAAAGTGGCGTCGTGTTTTCACTTTTTATTCCACGTTTAGACAAGTGTTTTGGGGAGGAAATCTGCGTGTGCATATAGTGTGTACGCAAAAGTGTGGGGGAATTGGATTGTGTATGTTTGTACTTAAAGCAACAAGAGCGTCTTTGAACATATGGAAGTTTTCACGTCACACATTTTCATCAGTTACTCCTTCCACAAAGTCGTTCCACCATCGACTGGTTCTCCAGGTCTCGTCCATATCCGTCTGACTCTCCTGTGACGACCTGGGGCATCCAGAATTTGACAGAGGTGATCACAGATCCTTCTCTGTTCACTAGGGATGGGCATGATTTGTCGATTAATCGATAATTGATCATTAAGAATTTCATCGATGACGTTCATTTTAATCGACAAACCGAATGTAGATTGTTGTGTGTATCGTGACCAAACAGGTCTGTACATGTGTCTCTCTGCACTCAGAAGGAGCGAGACACAAACAGTCAGTCAGTCTGCAACGTACCGAAGTGCAAATGCGTATTTAATGATGACTTGTACAAGAAATTCCACGCTTTCCATTGTGTTCGGGACAAGTGTGAGTCCATGTGCACAGTGTATAAAGCAGCACATATGTTTCGTGTCCAGTGGGAAAAAGCTTTACCAGGTGAGAGTCGCTCAATGTGGATGACGAGTCCCCACCTCCCTCCCCCCGTATGGTGTCCTGGTTTTGACAAATGCAAATCTGGTCACACTAACCTGTATTCCACTGACTCATGTCTTTTAATCCGACAGAAATTGACCGCATCAGCGACACAAGAGCTGTAGTTTTATCTTCGCTTAGTTTATGCAAATTAGTGATGCGGTTTTAAGTTTTGTTTCTGTGAGAGTTGAACAAACTGAATTAAACACATTATAATGTCAAACAGATTGATGTGGCTCTAGAGTGGTTACAGTTTATATGTAATAATAATGATGATCATTTTAATATAAAAACGTTAATGATTAATCAATAATCGATTGTTAATTCTTCCGACGATCGATTAAGAAAATTTCATCGAATGCCCATCCCTACTGTTCACTAATAGTATCTCTGCAGATTCTCTACATTTGTTGGGAGCCTCCTGTAAGTTTATTCGAGCTGCCAGAGCAGAAAATGATCCGACATGTTTGTTTCTGTGCACTGTACGTATGTGACGTAAACGTGTACGCGACGTGAGCAGATCTGACCAGAGTTTTGCGTCTTGGGCAGTGTAGACGGAAACACTACAGAGGAGCGTATTCGACTTTTCCACTCTGGAAGCTGGTTTCACCGTCACTGTCACAACAAAAGACACTTCCGATAAAATATTTCGTTGTTTTTACCCACAAGCGTTCTCGTGTAAACAGACCCTGAAACCTGGAACCTGAAGATCCTGAAGATGCGAGACAGGCCTCTACTTTTGACTCTGTTTAAATCCAGGCTCGGATTCTGTTTAGCTGCGTCTGACTCAAAGGTTTTCATTCCGCACTCTTCTCTCTCATTTAATGTCTCTCTGTCTTTTTAATTTCATGATGATTATTTATGTTTTGATTTGTTTGTTTTGTGATTTTAATGCATTTCTTATTCTGTAAAGCACTTTGAATTACTTTGTGTACGAATTGCGTTGTACAAACAAACTTGCCTTGCCTTGCCTGCAGGCGAGTCTAATGCCATACTGTGGAATATTACAAAGCCCAAAGACAAAGAACACTGACATCCCCATAGAAATTGGACCTTAATAATAAGAGGAAATCTAAAATGTGAGAACAGAGACGGCACTCATCGCCTCACTCGGACCTCATACATCATTTAGACGCGGCCACCTCCACTTCCTGCTCTTAAGCTCCGCCCCTCCCCCCTTTTTAACGACCCCCACACACTCCCGAGCACCCGTGGGAGACAAACCTGCACGCATCATCACTTCACCCCCAACCTCAGCGTGAAGAGCGCACACACGCCACACACACCGGCGAACATCTCCAGGAAGTCAAGGTCATTTGTGCTGCTTTATTTATTTAGACAACAATAACAACATTTTATTACGAGAGCAGCTCCAGGTCTTGGTTTGTGTCAGGAGAAGCTCGAGGATTAGTCTGTTGTGCTGCGTTTGTTAAAAAATCATACATTGTGATTTCTGGATTTTTTTTTTA